TATTTCTCAAGAATTTCTATCCAGTGATATACTGACGACGGCTGGAACGACGTTGAGAATTTTTTGTGTCCCAAAATTGCAATATTTTCTCAGTTTTAAATACAGTTAAGCACATTTAAGTACATTTAAGTACATTTAAGTATAACACAGGCAAGACAAATAATAAATTTATTATTTCTCAATAATTTCTATCCAGTGATATCATACCATATTATATCATATTATATCATACCGAGTTCAAAAAGAAAGCGACGAATTATTGTATACGGCTCGGTCACTCGTTATGGTCCGTGAACCAGCGCCAAGGGGTTAATAGTACTTTCAGCAGGCTGAAAGTTTCACAAGCAGATACATACGCACCGTGAGTCTAAGTCGAGAATTTAAAAAGAATGAGTTGAGCAATTATTTCGGGTCGCATTCTTTTAAAATAGAATAATCTGGTGTAATTTTCTAAAAAAGCTGTAAAAGTTGAACCGTTAAACTGAGTTGGCTGTTGCATCGTTAATGTTCATTTTATTAGCTAAAGTCTTATAAAATCTTTATGGGCTAAGTCAGTTGCACTCTCGTGAATTTGTTATTTACAGGGAAATAATTAATTATTTTACTATCAGATACGCGGAAAATTTGTCGCCGATTTTTATCAGTCATAATTGTTCTAGGGATTTTTTCTGATTAACTGTGTGTATGATCATAAATTTTTGATATCTGGCCATTCATTTTTTGACGAATGATCGTGATTTTGGCTCGATAGAAATGAGAATTACTTGTACGTTCCTGAATATTATTATGAACTAATAGAAAGAACGTAGAAAGAAGAATCCTTTGTTGTTAGAACGAATGAAGCAGAAGGATTTTATTTCAACAAACTCAGTAACAAGAAGAGCAAAAAATATACGAAAATATCCACCTAGTTGCATTATACACCACCGTTAGAATAATAACAAAAGAAAAATATAAAGATTTATTACCCTACATCTCACCAATTTACCAGAAATATTTTAAACTACTCAAGGCTCAAAGTCACATTTCCAAAAGATGAAAAGAAAATCAGAAATGATAAAAATTAAATTACTTAGAAACAAAATTATAAAATGTGAATCGATAGATTTGATTTAAATTTTCTTTTGTAATAAAATTCGTTGTTTTTTTTTATTGTCGTAAGTTAGTTTTAAGACGTTCAGTTAATTTTGAAACTGATTGTAAGTCATTTCAGGCTTCAAAAATCACATTTTCTTACAAGCTACACACAAAATTTCACAGTCATAATAAATTCTTATCCTACAAGACCAGATGTATCTTGAAATATTTTGTTTCACAGTGTGAAAATATTTTTTAATTTATTCAAACGCAAACCTTTAAAAATTTCTCGAAACGAGAAATACATGACGTAGCCCACTTTCATAACCATTAGCACATGTAAAAGCAGAAGAATTAAATAGAGTTGCTAGTCAGATGAACGCGAGAACAACACTTCAATATTTCGAAATTGCATAGAGGCAATTCCTATATCTTTTTGCGTTCTTAAATTTCCCACAAAACACGTAAACGCCCGCGGTGATCTCCACCATTGAAGCGAAACCAAAGGTAAATCCTCCCGCTTCGAAATTCCTCGCATCGGGAGCTCGAAACGTTAAGAAACAGGAACGATCCACGCGGCGTTCGATTCCCAGAAAATCTGGTCTCTTCGAAAAGAATCGATAATCCGGCAGGAAGGATAATCCTGATTCGCATAGGCAAGCATCAGCCATTGGTCCGCGCGGACCTCGTACGTCGTTCGAATCACGTTCTAAATTCGACAAATCCAACATGTCCGCGCCGTCGAGGCCAACCCTGCGTGGCGCATTTGTCAGCCCATCGTTAAGAGGCAATTTTATTTAAAATTCATACGAACAAGTTTTCCTCCTTCGAGAATGAACGAGAGAGAGACAGAAAGAAAAAGAAGAAGCAGCTTTTAGCCATTCTCAGTTTCTCACCTTCGCCATCTTTCTACGACCGGGAAAAATCAAAGTCAGAGGAACTGGTATCACGAAATCACTTTTCTAAGCCATTGGTAGTTGTTTAGTTTGCATACGAATGCCGGCCGCGGCTCATCGAGTTAGATGAATCGAAACTGGCACACCGGTGTGTCTATTCGCCACGGTGCTAATGAAATTCACGACTCCGATCGAACAAAGGGATCGTCTTCACCGGAGCAGAGCTGATCGTGCACGCTGAAAATTTCACAGAGCGTGCATCTCTTCCAGATATGTACATACGTAAACCGGTGGGTACATGATGACGTACCAGGGCCATGGGATTCCACGTCCTACGGGATCGGGGCCCTGTACGATTAACGTACGGATTAGGATTAAGGTTGGCACAGATTTCGCTGCGGATTGAAGTGTGCACGCACACGGTATTCTATTTACTTACCTACCGATAGGGGGGGGGAAACGAAGAGGTGGCCGAAGGGGGATTCTCGACAATGTCGGGGTACGTGCGCGAACCTATGGAGAACCTTTTCACGCTCGGTTCTCCACGTATCGCGTCACGATCCTCCCCACCGTGTCCCTGCTGGCAACAATAACGACGACAGTCAATGCACATTACAACGGTTTTATGTTATTAATACGGACGCATTGGGCGGGATTTGAATAATTGAACAGATCTGCCGGATCAACGATCTGCTGGAGGGAGAGACACTATGCCTATGGTTTCTAATATAGTACATTACGTCTTTAAGGGATGTACAACGTACGTGGTTGACGTACACACTCCTTTTCGTCAGTCGTTCAAAATTCTATGGTGGTTCGTTGGTATTTGTTGAAACGAAAGGGCCAAGCGTGACGGAAGGAACGATACTTGGCCGCCGATCGACGGTTTCATCAAGATTTGATTTCGAATTATTTCCAATGTTTTTTCAATGTTTCCACTTTTTTATTTCATTTTATCTCCCGCGAGCGAGATTTTAAATATTACAAAATCCCATTGAACAGTTTGGAGTAACGGGTAATTCTATACCGTTCCGAATATCTACCAAATATCCCAATATCGGTGTTTTAACGCGTGTAAGTACCGATGATCAACGATACCTACACTTCCTGATTAGTCGAATTAGATACATCCGTTTACTTTTTTCCACGAGTAAATCCCCCGTACGACAGAGCGAATTCCCAGAGATTTACACAGGTTTCAACATCGCGTTCCGTTCCAAATGTATTACGTTAATTCGAGGTTCACGTGTTTCGTTGTTTATGGCGCGGCATCGAATTCCCGTTTGATAATTCGAGAGCTCGGTGTAATCCACACGTCAAAATCATAATATCCTCAAATCTGAACAATAGGTATTATGAAAAAAAATTGTTTCGGTTGTGCAACAGTGTAGAACGGAACTTGGTCGGTCGGTGCTTGCCAGTTTCAATCTGCGAATCAATCAAGCACGCGCGCACGCTTTCGAGGAAATCTGCGATTTCATCCGATGCAATGCAGACGATTCTGGTGTATCGTGAACACGATACACGATACACGCCGGTTATATATAATGCGTTATACACAACGTAGATTAAAAATGTTTCGCTTATTTTCGTGTTTGCCATTTTTTTAATTTGCCAAACGATTTCGTTTCGTTGCCACTTCTCTTAGAACAGAGACTGCTAACGTTCAACAAAGTGGTGTCCTACGCGATGTCGATCAATCAAGCACAAAAATTGGAATACGCGATCGAATGCGTGATCTCGCGAAAATCGCTACGAGACATGTGTAAATACTCGTACGAGTACGATGTACGAAATGAAAGTTCGTTGATCCCCGTTAAATTCATCCTGTTCAAGGGAATATCGCGAACGGTGAAGTGGTACGAAACGTACGAGCAATAATCCCCCTCCCCCTCCTCCTTCGCCGCTCCTCTCTGCGTGGCTACGAATCGCAGCGACGACGAGAAGAGCGGAAACATGAAATTATTTTCAAAAACAATAGTGGAGCGAGTTCGATCGCCACGGAGGGACCCTCTCCCCCCCCCCCCAACCCCGGATGTTCGAATCCAAACACTTCCGCAAGCATGATTAATTCGTGAATACGATTCGCAGTGTAAACTCGGAAAGCTCTGTAATACGCGAGACACTGCAATAGTCGTGATTATCCGTTATAAATACGTTTCTTCCACCATTTCCACCGGTGTGTGCATCGAGCGTCTACTCTCTTTTCCTCACCCCGCGGTGCACGTCGAAGCCGGTCGACGCGCGTCGACGAGGGGCGGGAGGGGGGAGGAAGGGGGGGGGGTGAGAGAGAGTTGAAAGGGCATTCTGCCGGGCCGTCCGACGTTTCCTCCCCCACTTTTTCAACAACCACCCCTCAAAACCATCGTGCTTGTCGTCGCGGAGATCGCACCTCCGCCAGCATCCTCCGGGGAAACCATCGTTCCCCGATGCCGCGCACGGGGTTTCTCTCCATCTCCGTTCTTTCTCTGTCCAGCTTGCCTGCGCGAGCCTCCCCCGTTCATCCCTCTGTATCTCCACGACATCGCCGCCGCCGCGTAGGGGATGTCGAGCAGTCGGACGGGGTGGTGGAAAAGTGGATGGAGCTAGGGTGAGCCACGCCCCTGCTCCAGTGTCGGCAAAACTTCGCTCGGATATATTCCGAGGGTGTCTCTGTCCCTCTGTCACTAACACGGGGGTGGCTACCCGTTAACCGTAGATGCCGGCGAATCTAAGCGCGCACCACCACCACCACCACCACCACCACCACCACCACCCCCTCTGCCTCCTTCCTTCCCTCCCTCCCTCCCTCCCACCCCCCGGGAGATCAACGCGTACACGAAAGTTGGACCAGTCGCCGGATATCTTTTATCATCGGTTGTCAGTCGGTGCACATCTGGGCTTCTCCACGCGCGTCCGATTCATCTCGCGTCCTCGTGGCTCCCCGTCGCCGGCAGGACGTCCCGTTCTCATCGCGTCTCTGCACATTCCAACCGATCTCGGACTTCCTTCCTTCCAAAGTTTCAATGCCGAGTCTCATTCTCCCATCCCCTCGCCAACGAACGACAAAGTGACCGATCTGACTTTTGGCAGAGCGGGCAACGAATTCGCCTTGAAACGGTGGGGAGAATTCGAAGATCCAAGTGGACGGTACACCGAGAGAGAGAGAGAGAGAGGAAACAGTGCGTTTGGTGATTCGTTGTGATGAGACAGAAACGGATCTCGGAAGGATCTTGTAACATCAAAGACTCAGATGTCTCTGATCGGTACGGCCGATTTTTAACCGGTGCTCCTGTCATGTGATTTTTCGTACGTACTCGTAAATAACGAACGCTTGGCCATGAAGGCGCTGCGCAAGACGAATTAAACGAAATCTCTTTTGTACCATTTGCGAGCCTACGTACTAAAATAAAGAGTCAATGTGTACGTACGAAGCGCATCCTAACGAAGAATGCTCTCGCCTCGATTTTAACGACGCTCGTCCACGCGGTCGACGCCTTCGCGATTTTGATACCCGTTCTTGAACCGATCTTCGAGTCGACCTGTCAGGGATTCAAGCAACGAGTGAAAGAATTGCAATTTACCACGATAAGACTCTCTTGTAACATGGTGGAGAGCACCTATGCGAGTGATTCGCCTAGATCGCGTTCTCCGATGACGGAGCCGTCGAGCCCCCTTCAAGATGGTCCCGGAATATCCGGCTACGGTCACCGATATCTCTACAGCTACTCGCCGGAAAGTTTGCAGCACAAGCTGAAGAACGACGAGCAGAACAATGTGACCGTACGGCGACACGACATCGACGGACGCGAGCGAACGTTCTCCAGGAGTCCAGTGAGTTCCGAGGAGATGCGATTCAGACCACGCGAGGTCTCCAAGCCGAGTTCATCGGCGACCATGTCCTCACCCACGTCCGCCTTCACTATCGAGAATATCTTAGCGCCTAGACCAATCGGGAACATGACACCGACCAACGCCAGCGGCCTCGGGTCCATCATTCAAAACCCGGAAGCCGTAGGATCGCCGTCGAGGGCCATGCATCCTCTTCAACAACAGATCCATCATCTCGCGTTCACGTCCGCCGATTTGTTCGGTAAGCTCTTTCGTTAGATCGTCTGCGATTAGTGGAGAATATTTCTTTGTAGAATGACGTTTTGATTATATTTTACGGATGGGAAAATAAATGTGAGAGGTTTTTGAGAATATTATTCGTTTTGTAAGTATACGGTATACAGTATACAGTACACAGTATACAGTGTACAGTATATAGTATATAGTATATAGTATAGTGTACAGTATATAGTATATAGTATAGTGTACAGTATATAGTATATAGTACACAGTATACAGTATATAGTATATAGTATAGAGTATACAGTACATAGCATATAGCATATAGCATATAGTATATAGTATATATAGTGTATGATGAAATTTACGATTCTTCCAAAGCTCTTTTTGTCAATTTAATGTCAGACGAACAAGGAACTTAAAAATATAAAGTTATAACGTTTCAAAGTTATCCAATCTTCAAGATCAATCCAAAAATTAATAATTTTCGCTCGTTTACGAAATACAAGAAGAAACATCCTCGTTACTAATATTTGCCGGATTCGAATTAATTGTTAGGCCCTTGACTGCCGAGTGATTTGCCCGTCTCTCAATTGGAGGAACGTTGACGTTGAAAATTCCACAGTAATCGCGAGGAAACGCGGCAGTACGCGAAGGAGTACGGCGTTAATTCGCAAATAGCTTGCCCCGCGGTCCCGGCATATATTACGTCGGGGTGGAAGGCGTTTCGTAGCGGAAAAATGAAAGAAGGCGTAAATCCTCCGGGCGGGCCGACGCGTCTCTCGCAACGAAAAATTTCCTTTATGCCCCCGAGGGCTTTAAGTATTTCACCACCGCAAGAATCCACGGCCGCAGATTGGGGATGCGCGAGCTGAAATCCGCAATCCGTTTCGATCACGCACGAACGATTTAGCTCCTTGCAATCCCGGTCCCGGAAGATTGAAAAACGAGGAGGAGGAAATATGCCGGTCGGCGCGGGAAAGAGACGGAGAGAAAAACAGAGCGAACCGCGAGCGACGCCGGTTGAAAGCATAAATTCGCCCTTCGCACATTTTTATGCGGAGACGTCGCCTCTAAGCAGCTTTCTTCCAGATTTTAAACCAAAACATCCCTTGGGAGAGGCTGGGGTCTTGCAGAAATTTTTTTTCGTTCCCTCGCCCGCGTGGAATAGGACTCCTGCGAATTTCTGCGACACGCTATTGCGATTTCGCACGCACACATGAAAATGTACTTCATTTAATGCTCTTTAATTTTGGCTGATCTCCCTAATTTTACGGGAATCTTTTTTCCTTTTCGCTCTTTTCTTTCTTTTCTTTCTTCCTTTTTTTCTTTTTTTTTTTTTTTTTTTTTTTTTTTTTTTTTTTTCGCGTACAAGGCACATAGCTCTCGTTCGAACACTGAAAACTATTC